TTATTATTATTATTATTATTATTATTATTATTATTATTATTATTATTCTGCAACTGTAAAATTGATAAAAAAATGGTTTTAATAAAAGTTGTCTGGAATCATGCATGTAAAGAAAATATTTTTACCTTTACAGGGTGTTCCATTTCGAGTGGGCGCTACATAACTTTGTTATTTTAAAAAACGCTTGTTCATTTTCAACAAATTGTTGCTTTACATTTAGTAAACGAAAATTAAAGTATTCGTATAGTTTTTAAACGTAAATTTGATTTTTGGCATTTATTTCTTAATAAGTAGATAAAATGTAACAATAATTAGTCGCATATTAACAGTTGCTCAACTATGTGAACTAGGCTTAAGGACACATGACTCACCTGTTCTGTGAGAAGTCCGTTGGGGCAGTCCTTCAGGAAACCCTTGTGCCTGAAACAAAGAAAGAATCTTAAACTAGATCGATTGATTCCTGGACAGAAAATAAATTTATACTAAGAGCACCGTTTACAGAGAATGGGAGTGGTAAAAGTCCACTTGAAATCCATGAATAAAATAGAGATCCCGATACATTTCGTTTGTGTTCTCTAAACGTCTATTTTGATACCTCCTTTCTACCACTTTGCGGCACACAATGATTTTTTTTTAATAACATTAGATAGACAAAATAAATAATTATTTATTTTGGTTTATTCGTATCAAAATATGTATATATTGAGAAAATCCATAAATATAAAGAGTATAAAGTAAACAAAAAAGATACATAGACAAAACAGAATGAAATTGATGAATGAACCTGCTTTAAAATACAATAAAATATAAAAAACCAGTCTTAGACTGCACAATAACTCTTCCAATTGGATGTCAAATACTGAAAATAGTTGGAAATATCTTTAAAATATCTATAAAAACTGGCAAAATACACCAAAATAGTATAAAAAATAGATCGGGCACTTTAAAAAACTTCGAAACATTTAGATACACTCGTATGTATATTGAAACGCACCAAAACCTTTCTACAAATCTCAAATTACGTCGAACTAACCTGGAAAACTCAGTACACTTTATAATTGGAAATATTTCGAAGTATAATACTTTCAAATATCATGTAAATACCCTAAAAGGTCGATGTATGCCACTGTCCCCCGATATCCTGACCTTTAGTTTAGTCAGTTTAATTCATGTACAACAGTTAATTCGAAAATAACTGTACATTTAAATTCGGATTAGCCTCAATTTTAACTTGTGAACGTCTGCAATTCTCCAGAACGTGGGGATCCTTTAAATTTGGGTGATTAGCATTAATTAGATCAAGAAAAATAAGTTTCTGGCCTGATCCCTGCTACGTTTTTATCTTAGTAAACCCACTTCTTGCAAGGGAAATATAAAAAGGCGGTTGATTACAAAATAATTGGTGGTGCTTGAACTTTTCCCAGTAGGGGAGAGACAGCCGGCAGAACGATGAAATGTGTTTGAGTTTAAAATTAATTTTTTAATTTATTTAATCTAAATGTAATTTCATAAACATACTTGCCGATACAATACGTGTTTAGTTATATACACTATTGCAATTTTACAATAAGATACAAGTTTTTCGTTAATTATTTGGTACTTTATTTGCCTTAAATGTGAAATTCTATTTATGTTGAAAAAATATTATTTTTCAATGCTTTTCAACATTACATCCCAAGTCCTATTTTTCATTCATTTGTAAGAAGCGCCTTACTGTTTGCAATGCTACATAGTCGGCATAAAATTGTGGCATGAAATTAATCTTCTTCTGCAAACGTGGTAGTTTTCTATTTGTATGTAAATGTAACATGTAGACTTTATAGTTTCATGTGGAATTAAATTCCGTAAAATCTAAAAATTGATATGTTAAAGCGATTTCATATGCACGATTTTATGCAAATGCATCCGTTTACCCATAAATTAAACCGATACTATATCCAGTCGGCGATAAAGAAATAAACGACTACCTAATTCCTGAAAACATCGGCAGCGCTAAAGGTTAGGTCACACATTATGGCAGTGCATTTGTTGTAACAACCGTTCGCTGATCGGCTGCGATACAAGCAGTTGGCACCTGGAAAACGCTCTAAATACAAGTAAGAAGCTGCTAATGCATTTTGTCTTGCTTCGCTGTAAATTAAAACAGTATCCATTATTGTAAGATCGATTAACACACCTGTAAGATTAATATAAACAATAAACCTCAGTAATAAGAATCTTATGAATACCACAGTAATACCGCATAAATAATTTTAAATATATCAGATTCAAACATGTTTTTGTAGAAATACGCACGGTAATGTATGTCTCAACTTTAAAACGTACCACATAGAAACTTTGAGGTTATAATTTTTACAAATTTCGTGTTCACTGTTCAGCGACACGAATGTGACGCTAATTAATCAAGTACTTTATTGGAAAAGGGCAATTAAACTTGTGTTTAGTTCTCGTTCCACACGTAGATTTGTATAAATTTCTCGTAGAACGGAACGAATATTGGCTGTTTAGGGGAGTATATTATATGCAAACCTATTAATTTGGCTGGTGCACTTTGCGAGCGAGTAGCAAATAAATTTTGCAATTTCCTTCGTTTACGCGTTCAATACATTGATTTTAGAATCCGCTCTATGTAATTTATGAAGCTGAGAATATCGTATTTATCTAAATTGAATTTTATATGTATTTTACATTTTATAGTCAAATAACCAGCTAGTAAAATTTTCATTATTATTAATTACATATTATTATTTCCGTTAACTTTAACAAGGTTTCCAATGATTTGAAAAATTCTGTGGATTCCCCAAGCTATTTCACCTGCGTGTAAAATCAATTTTTATTAATCCAACAGAACAGTAGGTAGTGTACCTTAACGAGTCCCATGGGAGGATTGTTTTTATTGTGTAACGACTAGTCTGTTTTCCAGCCAATAAAGAAAATTGGAAGAGAAGATTTATTTCATGCTGTGCGTTCATCAGTTGCTTTCCATTTTATATTACTACTGAATTGATAGAAAAGAGTCCTTGGAGATTTTTTTAAATGAAACATAAAGCGCAAAATTTTTGAGAAGAAATATGGAAAAAAGTCAGTACAGTGTACACACTTGATTGGGACATTTCAGGTCCTTGTGGAACGATTTGTATTGTACTTATAAAGGTTATCCCAAAAGTAACCTAGGATTATTTATTTATAATTTGCGCACAGTCTCAGCTACATACTCTCTGTACTTATAATGAATTTTCAGAATCTTCACTCGTTCATTAGTCGTATAATGTACGGACTGTTTCCTTAGCATACGACTTAATGTTAATTACTTAAAAAGTTTGACAATTTCTCGAATTCAACTTACTTTACTGTTTTGTTTGACAACTCAGAGTCTTCGCATGTTAACCAGTGCTCATAATTTTCGAGATAAACGCAATAAAATTGCTTAATTCCTGTCCACCCTACTGTTTAATGCTCTGACCTTCCATACCTCTCGATTTGACCCCACGACAGACGATAACGCGACACGGTATCGCTCGCCTAAATTTTCTACGCCCTAGAATTGTTCTGTAGGAAACAGAGCGTGCAGATAAAACAAATGAGGTAGATCGGTGAGTAAATCAAGGACGTGGGGTGTCTGGGGCTTAATATCGTTGTGTTTTGTTAATTTTATCTACCAATGTACGTTTCAATTTTACCTTCAAGTAAAAGTACTCTCAATAATTGCACAACGTTTTGTTAAAAGACTTTGTAGTATTTTTTTAATATAAGGAAGATTTAAAAAATACAACAATAGAGAATTGTGTACATTTCAATTGTACAAACTTCCTAATAAAAGTTTTTTAACAGCCTTTAATGGATAAACGGAGAAACTAACTTTAATGGACAAACGAGAAACTAATTTATACGGTTTTAATATTTATTAAGGGGTTGGTAATTTACTCTAACACAGATAAATAGGAATTCAAGAAATGCTGAGAGTTTCTAGTAATAGTTGTAGACGCTTTGGCGTCCTTATAGTATTTATAGTACTGTCTCTAATTGTTGCAGAAGTTAGCTTATAAAGCTTACGATTAACATAATATATTGTTAATTTTCTATTATAACTTTCTCTTTAGATACAAGAGTTCAGTTTCTTAATAGCAGCTATAAAGTTTGTCTTTGTTCTATGTATTCATAATGATAGTCTTCGTTAAGTTTCAGTAATAACTACCATGAATTAAATAAAATCCAGTATGACATATACCTTTTGTAGTAGGACTTTAATTGTCGGGCCACCAAAATAAACACACTCTAAGTAACACATCAAACAATTTATTTTGTAACTAAGTATTTGCGTATTTGCATCACTTGGCTATCTCATATTTATATCTGAAGAATTACCTGCCCAGGTATACATGCCAGTGTTTTTTGGTTATTATTCATTCACCAACAAATATCCTATGCTTAAATGTACAATACGGCAATTGTAAATATTTTTTGAAATGGTTTAAATAAAAATATTTACGTCGATATCCTAGCTTATTAATAATTGGAATTTCATTTATTCTAGCTTACACTGAAATATTACTTTAGTATTTAAGTGAAGACAATGGTGGTACGTCAGTATTGTGCCTAAATATCAATAGAATATCTCATTTAGAAAAAAGAATCACATAAAGATTTGTTATATGTTATTTTTTATACATCTAAATAACAATGAAATGTATAGGGTTCTATTTTCTATATAATTCCATAAAAGTTTCCTATGACTATTGAAATCCAAGTTTTGCCTGTTTAATTTTTGTTTCATATATATTTTCTAAGAATTAACATTTAATTAATTAATGTGAATTATGAGAACCTTAATATATCTATTTAAATTTACCTCTGGTATGTTTTCAGGACTTTTCGTTTCAATCCTGACTCACCCTAGTCCTGCATCTGCTAAGGCGGATAATCGAACTTACTTTTAATGAATCTCGTCACGATATATATCCTGTTGTAAAATTTAATGTTTTCAGGCTTTTAACTTGGGGTTTTATATTTCACCTTGTCAGTTTTCGTTAAAGTCAACTTCCGCATCGTTTCAAGTTTCATTCCACGAAGAAACACGACAACAAACTCATTTTTGGTGGTCAAATAGAGCAGAGGTCAAAAGGCTTATTGGGACGAAATAAAAATAAATATTGATGCAAAGTTCAGACCACCATATCAATGTTGATACAGATATTTAGTTATAAATAAAAATAATTATTATGATTAGGCTCTCTACTTTCAAATAATATTATTTTCTCTAGTTTAAAACATGGCATATTAAAGAATATATTATTTTTTTTTACAATTTTTATGGTATTAATATAAGAGATGAAATCAGTTAAAAATTTACGCGCTATTTTTCAGAAATTCTTATTAAATTTCCCTTTAATCCTATTATCCATTTCATTCAATTGCTATAGTCTTCGCTCAATTTAAATTTAAGCCAGCACTTCTTATCGATTATTGATTTAATATTAGGGCAGACAGATAGCCTTCAACCCCTCGTTATCATAAAATAAACTTCTTGATTTGCTATGCCCATAAATCTTTATGTCTGACTATAAATATACCTATTTCTCGATCCTTAATATAATATTTTATTAATGTTAACCATAATGAAAATATCTATACACCACAAAGACCTTTAGTGTTTTAATAAATAAAGGATTGAGAAACAAGAAGAAAAATAATTTTGTTCTTGGTTAGAAAATATGTAAATGTAAAATAAATTATATTCCTGTGTACATTCGACGCTCTAGATCTTTATTCAGAAACGCCACATAAATTTCCAATTTATTCTTGATTATGTACTGACATGATTCCCATGGATACAAAACAAGAGGTAGCTCTAGCGAATAACACAAAAAATCTGGATAAGACACGGAAAACAACTATAGATCATAGCAAGCACTTAATAACCAATGAAAATGGGAAATGAAAGAAACATTATTGAACACCTGTTTCCAAAGACAAAAAGTCCACAAAGGGACTTTATGGTCATCATCTAGAAATACTTTAAATCAAATAAAGATATTATGTAAATCATTAAGGATATAAGAACATATGGAGAGTTAGAAGTAGATGGAGATTATTTTATCTAAGAAAATAAAGAATTAAAGAAGGAAGAAAGAAAAGTCTATGGAAATGCATTAAACCAAATAGAAGAAAGTTATGGACAAAAAGTGCTCAGACAACCCTACCAAGAAGAAAAAAATGGGATATTAACCTAAACCAAATTGCCATAAAAAAATTTTTCTAGGAGACGAATTAATAGAAAAATGAAAAAATATATTGAATTACCAGGAGAAGAAGTAGAACCAGTGTAGGACAAGAAAATGTGGTACCACCACCCAACAAAGATAACATTAAAAAAATCATTTCAAAATTGGAAAATAACAATGGTCTAGGAAGCGAGTGTATAACAAGTGCGAGTGAGGATACAGTACACACCCTGTGTGAGGAGAAAATAGGCCCCGTAAAGAACAGCGATTTGTATTCTCGGCCCCGATCTGCTTGAAAAAGCGGACAAACCGCCGGCCTCCTTAAATTAACTGACCCGATCCTGATTAGAGGCAGCCGTTCGCAAATAATCCCCTACGCCGCACGCAAATTTATCTATCCGTCCCAATCCGCGCCGCCAATTTTCGCTGCGCTAAAAGGTGGTATCAATTATGCGGAATCTGTTCGTCAGCTGAAGGGTTGGAACGCGTCGATCTGGCGAGCCCCCGAAAATCGAACTGATTGATGGATCGGCAGGGAGATTCAGGCGCTGACAGATGTAAATGTGTTTGTGAATGAACAGGGATAATATGAGAAATTACTCGGTGTCTATTAGCCAGCTTTACATAACGGTGCTTCGTGTGGGTTTTTGTGCGCATTTTTATTTGTAAATCGGAAGGGTTTTCCGAATTTTTATCCTAAAAGTGTAGGATGAAGGCACTATTTAAACAATCTTCGTCATATTCTCCCCACTAAGACAACTACGAAACCATTTTGACAAGTATGAGCTGCTTTCAGAGACATAATCAAGTTTCCGATCCGGATTTAGTTGTAGAACAGCCCTTCTAAACATAACTGACGATATTTTTACGGAACTGGACAATAGTAGAGGGAGTATCATAATTTTCGGAGATTACAGTAAGGCGTTTGATACGACCAATCACGAATTGCTCTTAGTAACCATAACTTCCATAAATTTTTTCCACAAGGTTATTTAACTAAGAGCCAATTGGACGTGGGGTGGTTCAAGGCTCAATTCTTGGGCCTTTGTTATATAAAAGGAATAAGGAAGAGGGAGGAAGCAAGATCTAATTATAAAAAATAAAAAATTAGTTGAGCTAACCAAAAAAAAATCAAAGGAAATAGAATAAAGTGAGGATTTTGTAACAACCAAACTAGGAGTGAGAAGAAATGTTGAACTAATAGACATCACATCTAAAAATAAATAAAAAGGTGTTTAAGAGTGATTTCGTAATTGTTAAATATGATAACAATTTTCCTCGCTAAAAATTTATAAAAATCTTAAACCAAAGTTAGAAATTAATTCCAGAGGATTTTATGACATTTATTCTCTTGTCCTTTAGAAATACTGAAAAAGATTATATAGAAATTGTTTTCCCTACTATTGTTTTCTTATCTACGTTTGATTAAAACTAGAAAATATTGACTGCAATAACCACACTAAATCAAATTGATATGTTTATTGTTTTCTACAAGATGTCTCAAGAAAAGGAAATAGTGGTTCGCAAAAAACACTCAGACACGGTCCAATTCCAGATACCAACTGAAATGAGTTGCTGGAAGCTTAGTACCTCGTTTAACTGCCGCGCCGTTGTCACATAGCTCGATATGAATTTTATCGAATTTTAAATTTATTACAACGCTAATTATTTTTTAGGATTAAGCATAAATAAGTTCAAAAAAATGATAAACATTGTATTTTATGGTATTCTATTCTCAATATTCCTTATTTAATCGAAGTTTTATACTTCAAGTTGCAGATTGTGGTAATTATTTTCTTGGAAATGGTTGAGTTTAGTACCCATGTCATATAAGGTTTTTTGTTTATTTTAATGTGTTCTATCGTCTGTTAAAATTAAGGCAGTCAAACTTCTAATACCCTGTATATTATTTAATTGGACATAATAATTTGTGGTTACAATTTTATTAAATTATATTCACTATTAAAAATAATTTTTTTAAATATCCAGAAAAAATTGCAACCTGGCAACACTGTACCATTTCGTATCGTGACGTCATTGCAAACTTGTGGTAAATGAGCTTTATTAATTAATTCTACTAATTCATCATAACAATAATCATTAAAGAAGGAAAAAAATGTTCTCTATGATTATTCTTTAGGTACCTACACTGCAATTCAATTTGCTTCATTTATTTCACAATCGAATATACCATTCGCTGCACATAGATTTTAACGCAAATGTGTGAAATACTGCTCTATTTTGACATAATACAAACGAATGATTTGTACCTCTGTGCTTTTTATAAAATAAATCATTCAGAAGCGACGCAATTGATAATATCGATATATTTCAATGAACAAGAGCCAGGAGACTTATACAAACATATCAAAACTGACATATATTCCAACGTTTTTTGTTTAGTGAACTTGAAGTCAATATAAAATTTTTATACGAGAGGAAAATAGTGTTCCAAACTGCCTAAAAATTAAATTTGCAGAGCAGGCTTTGACACACAAACCAAGACAACAAGAAAGGTGCATTAGTATATGTGACTATACATGTTGACATATTAGGCAATATTGAAGCTAAAAATTAATTGTTATTATTATTTTACACTTTCGTAAAGTTTCTTAACAATCCAATTCAGAAGCAAAAAATGAATGAGTTAAGTTAAATTTTACTGCGAGATATTAAGAAACTTTAAACTGTTTATAATTATCTATTTATATAAATAAATATTAAGTCCCTAAATTGTTATATGTTTTGGTACAAATACTTTAAATTAATTGAAAATGGCAGCCAGGCAGCATATGTTACTGGAAGAACGAAACTGAATACATTACCGTAATTTTTCATCTGTATTACAGTTTAATTTACAACAAATATATTTATATTTAATAAACAGCATAAAAGTCAACAGTTCCATTCGACCGTTAACAATTCCGTTAAAAAAATTGTACTCACCATTGTCGAATTTCTTTTTCTGTAACTGAAACAAAAGAATATATTAAACAGTTGAATATATTTCCATATAAAAACAAAACAAATCAGTCATACACTCCATGACACTAATAAGTAAAGACAAATGAATGCAGTTGGAAAAATCCGGAATCTGCTGTCAAAAGAATGTGGAAAACGTGACGCAAAACTTAATTTCGTTGCGGATGCTGAGACCTCAGGACACAGGAATGATTAATGGATATTACATTCTGTTGTACTGAGTTTGCAGATATAAATTTAGAGACTATATAATAAATATACAACAAATGTGAAGATTTATTACTGTGGGAGGTAGATCTCGATAGAAAAATCTAAATATTAACTAAAAATTAAATCAGTTGTCCTGGACAAAGCGGATTATTTCTGCACAGGCTGTGTTCTCGTCATTACTGCTTCCCTTATGGCGACGAAACAAATTAAACCCAGATGTGCCTTTAACTTTAAAGAATTTTCTGCCCGACAACTTCACAAATCCCTCGCTATATGCAGCTTTTTGCCGAGCCGAACTTGTCCAGAATTACAATCTGATGTTGGCAAAGTTTTATTAGAGTTCTGAAGCGATTCAGAAAATTCTCGGCTTTTTACGAATAGAAAACTTCAAGATAAATATTTTTTACTTTACTTTCCAAATTGTAAACTAATATCCATTTACCATGAAGTTTTTTCTATGTGAACATAAACAAAGCCTTAATCTTTCCTTTTTAATGTACCTAATTTACTTTTCACACAGATACATTTTTCACCTCAGTTCTGAAACATAATTTAAACTTAAAGAAGGTAGAGAAGGAAGCTCTGTCGATATTGATAAATTGTCCGAGGCTCCTAATATAGTTCCGTCGTCCTGAGAACTTGATAGAAAATACTCCGTCTTGATTTAAAAAAGTACATTATCCAATCCACTGGTAAGCATTTAGAAAATTATATTTTTCCGTCAATTTCTGCTTTGTCAGGAAACAAGCGAGCTGAGTTACAAAAGCAATCACATTAATGTTTTTTTCTAAACTTACACTTAAAAAGTGATTTGATATGAATCGGAAAGGGGAGGAAAATATATCATTAGTAAGGAAAAACATGGGTTCTGAGGTTGATTGATATGCTAGTGTGACCAACTAGTAATGGGAAAATAGAGAAGAATGCTAGAAAACTAATATTTCCATTAAACTAATTCAAAACTGTTCTAATATACAGAATTCCATCCATTCCATTACACATTATATTTTTAAAGTTACCTAAACCAGAACAACACACTGGACATAGTTTTTGACGATGTTCTTCCACTTTGTTGAAACGCCGCAGAAGATAACAAAAGCCCAGGAATCTTTCAGCGACCAATAAATTATAATCTTAAGTAAATTTGCTGTCTATTTGGAAGGAGGGTGAAACAACAAGGTCATGTAAATATCAGCCGACGGTTTGTTTCACTAATTAGAAATATGAGACTCCGACCTCCCTTCATCTTAGTTTACAATCCTTCAGTGCCCTACTTGTGCTCTATTGTTCGCGTCTTTCTTTTGTCGTATTTACACAGCAAACGACGATTTCCGCTTATAATTATGTAACAGTGTTCTTCATGGAACTTTTTACCCCGCTGTGCCACTTTTCTTGCACTACGTCGGCATTTACTGGTCTTTATAAGAGAAATTGTAAAGTTTAAGACACTCTTCTTGACAAAGAATAATAAAACTTTTTAAATAACTTATGTTTTGCTAGTTTCGTTAGGACAAATAAAAAAACTGGCAATATAAATCATTCTCTCGGAGCATTTAAAGTTTCGATATTTTAATGATAAAATGGAGAATTTGTTTAAAGAATACCTATGTATATTTATTAATTTCTAACAGTTAAACCTTTTAATCGAAACTACCATCTTAGAGTATATACTATGTGGAGGAAGCACGCTTCCAACGACAGTGTAGATGAGTGGCAGAGAGAGAAAGAGATAGTGTGGGTACTATCTTTCTCTCTCGCTCAGGCACGTGATTGGCTAACGTTTGGATGAAGTTCGGAATCTGTCCACTCTTCCTTAATGATTAAGGAGAGAGAAAGAGAGCGAGTACTAGAACTATTGCCCATTCTCTGTACAGTTATACACTTTTTGTGTTGTGTGTGGCGTGTATAATCTGTAAAAATTAAACTACAGCTTCCTGATGATATTTGTAATAGAAAAGTCATATACGAAAAAGTTCTATCTTCGCGTACTCATCCGAGCATTCTTGAACCTACACGTTTTCTTAGACATCTCAAATGTCACTTATTTCTAGCACTCGTATTATTATTATTTAGTATTATTTATACCACTCGTAGCTTATAAACTCAATGCTACTACCTAACAGGTGTAGCTTCCAAGTTAAAGATTTTGACAGTACTGTCATACTATTTGAATGTGTCAAAATTATGCTGTGTAATTACAAACATTACCAACTCTCGCAGATACCACCGAAATGGCACAAATAATCCCGAATTTAAGCTCATTGGTTGCTGGTATTTTGGTTGGAATAGTTGCTGGTAAATACGGCCGACTGATTCTGGGTCGCTTTTTTGAACAACCGGTGCACAACAAACTCAACTGGCAAGAAGAATGTGGAGACGACTGTGAATGTGAACTAGGCGAAGATGACCTTTAACTTACCCGCAATAGTGTTGAGTACAACTTGTGAATACGTAATATAAGTTTCTTTTTGCTACACCGTGTTTGTGTTGATCATTCTGAAATAGGTACTTAAAATCCTCAATTGTGTATTTGTCCAAAAATTTTTCTTGTTCCCAAAAAAAAAAAATCGAGAACCAGCAAACATTTTTAATTATAGAAAGCTATTTTCTACGTTGAAGACAAACAACTGTTTTAGGACACGGATTCTTCCTGAACGAACTTTGCCATTAGCCATGTTAGCAATATCCCTTTTTTCTCTTGTGTAAACGCCAAACAATCTGGGACGAATGCTATCTGCTTAAATGCTTTTTGGGTATATGTTTCATGTTACAAAGCAGAAATACGACCCAGAGAGTCTAGGTTATTTTAATGGTCAGTTAAGTGTTTGCAATTTCGGTTGGGTATACTAAGTAGGGTAAGAGGGTCAACAGGAGAATTTATAGAAAAGATTTTTAGAGGTTAAATCGTGTTTGAAAAAGCAGTCTTGATGAAGCCTTCTCTTTTCAGTCCATAGGGAAAGCTTTTAAGATCCTAACGGAATAATTCAAAATTGGAAACATATACTAAATGACAGCAAGCCATGTGACTGTCAAACATAGACAACCAACATTGCGCAATTGGTACAATCTACTGAAAATCCCTAAACAAAATGTTGTATTCTATTCGACCAACAAGACCAACTTTAATATAATATGCCCATAAAAGTAAATTAGGTAAAGTTTTTTTTATTACTGTTGTGTTTTGTATTTTTTTTGTTTACCCTTTCCTATAATACAAATAAACTTGTAAGGCGTCTTGATTATTTTATTTTTTAAGAAATGTTCATATATTTGACAAAACGTATTTGCTTGTGACCGAATAAAATGGCGCAGAATCATTAATGGCAGTCTTCGTTTGTTGGGCAACCGCTGCAAAAGAGGGGCAGTTAACGTAAATAGGAACAATAGACTGAAAGAGGATAAGAAATGGCACTACACAATATAGCGGAAGATTGTAAACAATGAAGGCAGCGAAAAATGGCGACCTCGCAATCCTGAGGAGCATTTAAAATTTATGCCCCGTCATTATTTTTTCTTGTCTTAGCGTCGGACTGAAACTGCAGACAAGTAAATAGTTTTTACATTATTTAAGAGGTCTTACATAGACAGGACTTTTGCCATGGAAATGGAAAAGCGCTGTAATGAACTTCGTTGCCTTGAAGATGTCTGTACAATAAATCACTAGCTTTGTTTTATTACATTTTAAAACTACTAAGTTTAGTTATTACTGAATTGTTTTTGCCTTCAAAAAAGTTAATTAAAGTATTTGTTCCTGTGAGTTGGCCTCTAAGAACTCCCGATTTATATCCACCAGATTTTTTTCACCAGTTTCAAGCAACTTTGGAGACTATATTGTCTATTTTCTTAATATTTTAACTTTGAATTCGCAATTGGACTAAACCATGTCTAAAATTTGTCTCACTTAGTCCTACGTCCTTTCACATGTTTTCCCAGAGGACAACTTGCCATTCATTATCATTAAATTGTAACAATTATTAATATTTATCCTACATTATTCTGACAGAATAACAGGGACACACCTAAGAGCAATATTTGCAGTTCTCACGACGATAATCCAGGGAAAATAGCGTTGCAACGCAATGTTATCAAGATCTTGTTCAGATAAATTAATTTTCTGAAACGCGGGGCATTTATAACAATTAACCCTAGTCTGGGGTGTAATTAACCTGGAAAATTAATTGTTATAAACACAAGCTTTCCAGGTAAGGCTTAGATAGGTCAGGTGGGAGGGGTGAAAGCACGTGATGCAAAACATCACGTCGCTATACAAGTTACTCAGGAAATCAAAATATTTAAAATAATAAAAATGATTTTAAGTGTACTTAATATACATATAATAATAAAAATATAGTTTACAAAATCACAAAATTGCAGAACCCAAAAAATTGGTTAACAGCTAGATACAAGTAATACTAAAATGTGTTCAAAATTAAGGTACGTTTTTCGAGTGTTTTCTGAACAAATCCAACGCGACTAATTTAAGTCTCAACTCAAACCAGTGACGTAGATATGAAGTATGCTGGCGACATATTCATAAAAAGTTATGGGACGTCACCGAGAAAATTTCTTTATATCATTTATAAAACACTACAAAGCAAGTTTCTTAACAACATCCTTAAGCAAAATCCTGTAATTATTGCTAAAAATGTTTATTTTAATGGTCTTCTGCTGCTCTTTTTAGTTTTTTTGTAACATTTTCTCTCCCAGATGTAGAAACATATATTTTACGTTACTATATCAAAGAATAGATGGCAAAGTTAAATTCTTAACTCCAGATAT